CGGCGGGGGGGGGGGGGGGGGGAGTCATCAGTAAATCACTGTAGCACAAGAAATAAATGTTGAAAAATTGAAATTATTTTTTTACCCTTCTTAAACAAAATTACTGGACTTGTTATTGAGCTCCTTCTGAGACAAAATCACTGGCCTGGTTATTGGGCTAATATGATATTTTCTTTAAAGTTATTTCTCATTATTAAATTTATCGAGAATAAAAATATTTTTAAAAAAAAATAATAAAAAAATAATTTAATTATTTTTAAAAATAAAATTTATTTTGCCAACTTCTAGAGGGATTTTTAGTCTTTTTTATTTTCAAAGCATAATAAAATGACTAGATTATCCTTAAAAACAATTCTTTAACTAGTGTCCAGTGGTATTTTTTGTGTTTTTATCCTGATTTTTTTTTTTATAATAAATTTGATTGGGATCAATTTATTATATTAACAATTAAAAATATAATTTAAACAAAAGGCTGATGATTGGGAACAATCGTGCCCTTTCAGGGGGAGCATGAGGCATCATCCAGTGAACAAACATCTCATGGTGGAGGTGGAAGCATTGTGGTGCTTTCTTTCCTGTGAGGCAGTGCATTGTGATGTTTTAGGCAGTGTGTTGTTGATAATTTATTTTTTTTCATCTCATTTCTATTTTATTTTTTTGAAATTCATGATAACCATTCAAAATTTCATATTTTTCTTTTTATTTATTAATATTTCAACTTTAATTTTTATTTTTTATTTCTAATTTTTACCTATTTTTCTTTAGTCAAATTTTAATTTGTTTCAATTTCATCTTTGGATCTATAGTTGTAATTTGTTTTTTTTTTTAATTTGATCTCCATTCTTTTAATTTTATTTTATTTTGGATTCTTTTATGAATTTGATTTTTCTTTTTAATTTCTCCTTTCAATTCAAAATTCTTAGTTTCTCTCTTATTTATTTTTCATTTTAAATTTGGTTGGCATTCTCGTAATTGCTATTTTTTTTTATCTTTTTGTATAATTGAATTTTTTTTCAGTTTTATCTTTTGATATTTAATTTGTTAAAAATTAAATTTCATGGTTTTTTCAGATAGGGTGCTTTCGATTTAGTAACTTGAGTCATGGTTTTTTATATCTTTTTAGATTTTTGTCCTTCAAAATTAGATTTTTTTTAAAAATTAAGCTTCATTTTTTTTTATTTTGCATTCAATAAGGTTATCTCATCTATATGGTCTAATTCGCGATATTTGATGATCTTACCTGGATTAACAAGTGTTTTATTTTTAATTTTTTTTTTATTAATTGTTTTTATTTCAGTTTTTTATATTGGAAATGTTAGAGATTAACTATTATTAGTTTTTTTAATTTATTTTTTATGAGATTGATTTGATCTTATAACTCGAGTTATAAAGTTAACATGTTACTTCTCAAAATTTCATTTTATTTTTTTAATTTTATTTTTTAATATTGAATTATTATAAAATCCAAATTTATAATTTTTTTTTATTTTGAATATTTTTTTATTTTTTAATGTTATCACCTTTTTTAGGACCCAGTACATTTACACACATTGTCTTATCTGTTATAATAATCGAATAAACATTGATATTTTTTTTTTTCTTTAAACAACATTTGCAGCGCCTGAACATCATTTTCTTACGTCCTGGAAAAATACTCCAGGACACATTTTTCTTTAAACAACAATATCTAGTAATTAATTATCTCTAATTAACACAAGCAATCACGAGGACATATTTTTCCCACTTTAATTAATACAGTTAAGTGAGTGCTATGTCAGTAGCAGATATCGATTTTATTTTATTTCCTTATTTCACTGAGTTGAGACAATTACAAGAGAGAGAGAGAGAGAGTTAAAGTACTAATTAGATTGGTTGATACTCAAATCATGTTAACCTGTCATTTTCTTAATAGATATGTTTGTGTTAATTAGAATTAAATAAAAGCTTGGTCGACACAGGTAAGATAGAAGCAATAAAATACAGCTATAGCAAATCAACCTTGGTAGTTCTCAGAACAGCTGCTGGTTTGTAAACAATAGATGAAACCATGTTAGGAAGAAGGACGTATCAATCAAATTTTGTAAAGAGAGATGCTCCCTTTCTTTACCTCATGAATATTTTCTTTACGAGATGATGTGAGAGAATGATCAAGTAGCCGACCTCTTTCATCATAGAGAATAAGCCCACTATGCCTTGGAAGCTCACATTTCTCTCCCATGAGGATAGGCCTTTGCCACACTGCAGGTGAAAAGGAGTTCCGGCTTTGCCACTCAGTACTTGAGTCGCACCTTTCTAACCCGAGAAGTGGTGGTGGTCGTAGCATCTCTCTCCCCCTCCCACTCCCACTCTCACTCCCACTTCCTCCCTCCTCCCATTTGCTTGCTTCACTCCACCTCATTGACTCCATCAACACCGTCTTTATTGTGATCCAATCATTAGAACCAGGCTCAGGATCAGACCATCTTATTGAGCTACCTGCGCTTGGGTCTTGGTTCACTCTTGGCTTTCTCTGGGCCTTCCTCTTGAGCATTGTGGCAGTGCAGAGCGCAATGACTGCGAAGGCAGAGCATACAAATAAGAGGACTGCTTCTTGGCTCGTCAGCTTCCATGTGTCCTCCAAATTCCACAGTGCTTCCATAACTGGTTAGTATGAGTGAGACTGGGTGTTACTGATGATATCTAGCATGCTATGTTGCTAAGCGTGTAGCATATAGCTAGTGTTTTTAAATGTCTATATCCGGGTGTGTATGATGAACTTCACGTGAGGTCCACCGCTAGCAGGGGTTAGACCCACTGGCTGCTCATGTATAGGGTTCACCTGTGTACTAGCCGTTGCGAGTATCTCACCGTTTTGAGCTAATTAAAGCAACTCACGAGGGATATAAAGTTTGCCACAGTAAGTTCTGATGATAAGCAAATATACATGACAGTACTGACGCATGCCTGCCTTCTTGTGTGGTTCGTGATTACCAAATGTAATCCACTGCTAAGCTTTGAGAGCTGAATTATATATACTTTCCTGAAATCAAGCCAATAGTTAAAGCCAATTTTCAGCTCATGCTGATTTCTGACTGCTCTGTTGAACCATCAAAAACTGCACCTTATATTTTGCTGCAGAAACAGCCAACGATAATCCACTACACTATGTGACTTAATTTGAAATAAAAACAAGAAGTACGGGTGTATAATCTGAACAGGATGATCACACTGAGGTAAAAGAACTGGCTTGGCCTGGGCTTTCTTTCTCACCCAGAATTGAAGCGCAACAGAAACAGTCTACTGTCTGCAAGTAGTCAAATCAGAACTTGGACAGCTGCTTGGACGAGGGATGATGACTAGTCACTAGATAGGTAGCCCGCAGCGTATTGCCTGCCTACTTGTTAAAGCAGTGGCTGAACACAGTGAAAAGAAAGAAAGAAAAAACTACAAGGTTGTTAATGCGTTTTGGAGCGGTAAGAAATTTTAATTAAAAAAATCGAAACCTGCACTTGTTTACTGGTATTTTATAAATATTTTTTTTAATATTAAAATAATGATATATTATGTTAACTTAAATTAATCCAAATTTACTAATAAAATACACAATTCAGATTGTAAACATATCTTGATTTAATTATTTTAATTTTTAAAATTATATTTTATTTAATTATATAATAATAAAAATAATCTCTTGCCAAAAAATCAGATATTTTTTTAAAAAATATGATCTTATCCCAAAAAAAAAACTAATTTTTTAATTAAATTAAATGATACATTATCTGCAATGACAAACAACACGTCACAATATAGTTTCAACTTTAACCACCTCGAATAGTTGGAAAGTCACTCACTCTCTTTGGACCCGAAAACATTATTTTTCAAGCATTTCTTCATCTAAAAATACTAGAGAAACATCTCATAAGCACAGGACATCTTATCTAATCTAAAAGAATGTTTAATTGATAAAATACTTAAAATTTGTCTTCATTCAAAAAATATTTCTAAAGCATGATTTGCCTTCCCTGCAATATGAGATGCAAAAAACATTTAAATAAAATTTTTCATAAAAAATAGAACTCATTGATATTAAAAATAAAACTCATTGATACTAAAAATAATATGTTTTAGTTATTAAAATATGATCAATGACAACTTTCTCTCTTCTTCAATATAATTTAGTGACTTTTTTTTATTAACAAAATTAAAAATAATATGTTTTAGTCATTGATCAATAATAACTGTCTCTTCAATGTAATCTATTAACTCTTTTTTTCTCTTTCCTAATAAAATTAAAAATGACAAGTTTTAATCGTTAAAACATGATTAATGATAATTTTTCTTCTTCTTCAATGTAATGTAGTGACTCTCCTTTTGTCTCTCCTCGTGAACTAAATAGCTAAAATATAAATAAAATAAATTTAACAATAATTGTCATTTCATAAAACTTTTAATTTTCGGTCCTCTAATTTTTAATTTTTCTCAAACAAAAAAATTAATTTTTTTAATATAAAATTGAAAACTAACTCAATCTTATAATATTCTTCTAAGATTATGATAACTTAAAAGAAAACAAGTCAAATTATGAAATCAAATTACTAATAAACACAATGTAAAATTATGAATTTGAAAAAAAAATTATATTTTTAAATAAAAAGCTAGCACTTCACCTAACTTTCAATTTTGATCCCCTCATTTATAATTTTTAACAATCAAATGAAATTATTTTGTGCAAAATCAAAAACCAATTTAATACTGAAATATTTTTTTGAGCTATGATAGCCTAAAAAAAAGAACATAAAACAAATTAAAAAGTTTAATTTTAAATTAATAAAATATGAAAAGATTAAATTAAAAAAAAATAACTAAAAACTTTTAAAGATAAAATAGAAGGAAATACTATGAATTTACAATGAATCCTTTCACAATCCACAATATTTTACTATGACTTTTAATTTTTATGTTTAACCAAAAATTGGCCCATGCTATGCATCAAGCTGACTCATCTTTGTTTTTTTGTTATAATAAATAATGCTATGATGTTTCAAGCACATTTTAAAATAGAAAAAAAAAATTTATAACTTGAGTTATAGATCCAACTAGATCAAATAAAATGATTTTATTTTTAATTAGATGATAAAAAAACAATAACAATAAATAAATCAAATAAAAAAATAATCCATATAACATAACCTTTATTCAATAATCCATATAACATAATCTTTATTCAAAAAAGAAAAAAAAATGCATCTAAATTCTTAGACAATTAAACATGAAACATTGAAAAAGACAAAATTGGATAAAAAAAGGAAAAAAAATAATATGAGTTTACCCGAGTTAGCACGACAAACTTATAATCTTGATTTAAAAACGGAGTAATTTCAGGTTAATATGTTAAACCAATGAATAACTTAATAGAAGAAAACAATGAAATCACAAAACCTATATTAAAAAAAAAAAATCAATGTTGAATAATAAAATTAAAAAAAAAATAAAAATAAAAATTAACTTACATTAATTTTTTAAATTCGTGATCTAGATTATTAAATAAGAAGTATTCTATTTAAAATTTTTATAAAATTCAATTCATAATTAATTAAATGTTAATAATAAAATAAAATAAAAAATTATTTTAATATTGAAGGATAAGATCGAAAAAAAATAATTAAATCTAAAAAATTATCAAAATAAAATAAATAATAAAAAAAATAAAGATTAAGTCTAACATATAAATAAAGTAAAATTGAATTAAATATCAAAAATTAAAATTAAAAAATAAATTCAGTTTAAAAAATAAAAAAATAAAAATTAACAATAAAAAAATAAATACGAAATGTGTGTGTATATATATATATATAAAACCTTCAATTTCATAACCCATTTCAAATAAATAAATAAAAAAGGTATAAATCTCAAGGAAACAAATGAAGAATTAAAAAAGAAAAGAATAATAAAAACCTGTCTTCTCTTCTTCCGTTCTCAATCAGTTGGGTTGCCCGGCCTTTGTTTTCTTTCTTCTTCAACGTATCCTCTCTCACTTTACACAGGCATCCATCCATCCAAATTTGACTTTAGGTTTTAATTAGTTAAATTAATTAACTAATTAGCATCATAGAAATAAAATATAATTTTAAATATATATATATATATATTCACCCGCTGATTATAATTATCCCCTCTCTTTAGTGTCTTTCAATCACCCAAATTCCTCTCCTCTCCTCCAAAGGTCAGTAATTCTACACTGCTAATTATTATTTTCCAACATTTTCTTGATTTCCCTAATTCTTAATTTATTCGTTATTCGATCACACCTATCCTTTTGTTCATATTTTTAGGGTTTAGTCTGTTACAAATTTGAGATTTAGAACATGGCTATGCTAATTTTGTCTTAAAAATTTATTACAATAGTTTTTGTTGGTTATAATTTTCAGGTTTGGAATTTTCCTTAATTAATAAACAGTAAAAATATGTCTGGGAGAAATCGAGGACCGCCTCTGCCCATGAAAGGCGGACCTCACCCTTCACTACCACCGGCTGCCATACATGAGGCTCGCTTTGGCAGGGGACTCGGACCATTGCCCCCTCACCCAGGTTTATTAGAGGATATGAGAGAACCGCAGTTTGGGATGGACCCCAGGCGCCTTCCTCCTCATCACGTTATGTTCGAGGATCGTCTTGCAGCCCAGCACCAAGATATTCAAGTTTTATTAGCTGACAACCAGCGCCTAGCTGCGACCCATGTTGCATTAAAGCAGGAATTGGAAGCTGCACAGCATGAGTTGCATAGGATGGCACATTTTGGGGATGCATTTCATGCTGAGAAGGATGTTCAGATGAGAGAGTTGCATGAGAAGTCTGTGAGGATGAAGATGGATCTTCGTGGGGTGGAAGCTATGCGGAATGAGCTTCATCATGTGCGTTCTGATATTAAAGAACTTACTGATGCAAAGCAGGAGCTTACGGGTCGGATGCAGGCGATGAGTCAAGATTTGGCTAGGTATAATGCAGATTTGCAACAAGTGCCATCTGTGAAGGCTGAAATTGAGAATATGAAGCAGGAACTGCAGCGTGCGCGGTAAAAGCAGCATGATCTCTATTATCTAGAGCAATGAAATTTGAGCCCAGAATTTCTTCTTCTTCTTCTTATTTTTTTTTTTTTTTTTTTTTTTTTTTTTTTTTTTTTTTGCATGTAGAGCTGCCATCGAGTATGAGAAGAAAGGCTATGCGGAGAATTACGAGCATGGCGTGGTGATGGAGAAAAAACTGGTTGGCATGGCTCGGGAGATGGAGAAGCTTCGGGCAGAGATTGCTAATGCAGAGAAGAGAGCTCGTGCTGCCGCTGCTATAGGAAATCCAGGTACTCTGTTGTCTGAATCCTTAATGGGGATCATGTTGTTAAATTGATTGAGTTGGTTAGTGAGGTTGGAAACAAGTCAATATGTACTTTGAATGTGAAAAACAAACGACAGAAATCACTTGTTCAAACTTGTATAATCCTTCTTCTTCTTCTTCTTCTTTTTTGTATATTTTAACTGCTTTTAAAGCCAAGTGTTTTAGGTGATTTTATTCATCTCAGATGATGTATGAGTTCAACTGGTGTGTCTGATTTTAAGTGTCTTAAATGAGATCAATTTTTTAAACAAGCAATTTTTATGGATTGCCTTTATTTAGTTTCTATTTTCACTCTAGAGCTTGATGCATCACTTTTGTTGACATTTTGGCCCTTAGTTTTTCATAATCTTAAGTTTTCTTTGCAGCTGCAGCTTATAATGCAAATTATGGAAAT